CGGTCGGTTACAAAGACCGCCGCGCCCGCCCTCGCCGTTTTCGCCCAGCCTCACGATCTCGGGCGGACGCGGAGCCCAGAGCGCGGCCCGGGCCGCGGGCGGTCACGGTGACGGCGCCCCGGGCCGGCTCCCTCCGAGCCCTGCCGGAGATGAGCGGAAGATGGCTGTGTCAGGGCTCAAGGCCGAGCTGAAGTTCTTGGCGTCCATCTTCGACAAGAACCACGAGCGGTTCCGCATCGTCAGCTGGAAGCTGGACGAACTGCACTGCCACTTCCTGGTGCCGCCGCTGGGCAGCCCACGCTCGCCGCCGCAGCCGCTCACTCTGCACTGCAACATCACGGTGAGGCGGCTGGACAAAGGGGACCCCGAGAGGCCCCAGGTGCCCGGCGGGGCGGGGCTGCCCCTTCTGCGGCGAGCGGTCCGGCCAGGCCCCAGGGGGACTGCCCGAAGCTCTGATGGGAGCAGGCGGAGGGTGCGTCCGCCCGGCTCTTGGCCCCTCACGGCCCCCGTCGCCCTCGCGGGGTCGCCATGGCCGCTCTCCGCCGGCCCTGGCTGTAGTCCGAGCCCGAGTGGGGCGGGTCAGGCGCCCCTAAGTTTTAACGACTTGTGTTTCCGTCAGGTCTCCCTCCCACCCACGTGCTCATTTCTTCGTGACCGCGAACACGGACTCGTTTTAAGCAGTAACGAGTTTAGGACTGAGTTCCCGGGTCCCTCGGGCCTGGCGCGCGCCCCGGGCCGCTGCAGGTGCGAGGGCGCGGCTCGGGCGTGCTTCGTGGCCCGCGGGAAAGTCGCGGGTGCGGCCCCGCGCGCGAGCCGGGCAGCCTGGGGGTCGCGCGAAGACGCTTTCATCCCGCGGCGAGTTCACTAGAAACCCCGGAGCCCGGTAAAGCACGGATTCACGTGTTAAATAACTTTCTCCGTAGAGTGTCTGTGAGGCTCGTCGTGTGCAGTTGATTTTAGGTGATTGGCCCCCAACGCGGAATACACTGTCATAACCGAAATAAAGGTGGTATTTAAATATGGCTAACACCGAAAATCTGTTGGGTTAACGCCCTCTGGTGAGGTCAGAGGGTATTCAAGGGCCTACGGGAGCGGGTAGTTTGCAATGTCTTTGGAGTTAGGCTAACTGATCATAAAGTAGTTAGCAGACTCCCTGGCGAGAAGATGAGTACTGTGTTTCCAAAAAAAAAAAAAAAAAAATCCCCAGCGCAATCAAGTGCTTAGTAAGGAGAGAATTCACTTATTGAACACGATACTGGGCTTTCAAAACTGGGCAGACTGCCTCAAGAGCTCACCGTTTAGAGGGAGAGTTTTACACAATAGGCTGACTACTGTGATGTTAGAAAAGCCAAAGCGAGCCACTAATTTTGACTTGAGGGCAGGTGTAGCATAGAGAAGACTAGGAGAAGGTTAGTGTAATTTTGGAAGTCTGGCGGTAGGGCATTTCAGGCAGAGGAAACCCCACCCAAACAAGACACCGAAGGTTGAGTGTGGTTGCTGACAAATTCTGCTTAGATTTGAGAAACCCGGGCTTTAGGCTAGTGAAAGATTTTCCAAATATGGGATAATAGTAGTGAACATGAAGTAGTTAATAGTATTGACTCTGTTGACTTGGAAGGTGATTATTCCGGTAGAAGTTGAGGTATGGCCAGGAAAAGGCAGGACTGAGTTAAATGATAGAACTTGTAGGCTATGGGAGTCACTAAGTTACTCAGGTAAATTGGGAAATGTGTCCTGCTATCCAGGACTAGAAGTGGTTTCCCGTAGAGGTTGGCATGAGAAAATTGTGGTTTTGGTTATCCCAGTGGAAGGTGGGGTGGAAATGTTGCCTGGCTGGCTTTTAATGCCAGGAGTACAGGGATTCCCAATGTTTTACAATGTTCAGGCGGTCTGCCACGTCAATTAATTACCCTACCTAAAATGTCAGCAGTGCTCTGTTGAGATTCATATTGGAGGCTGATAGTCTGCCACAGACAAAGGTACTTTTTTTTTTTTTTTTTGTCTTTTTGAGACAGGGTCTCTCTATGCAGTTCAGGCTGTCCTTGAGCTCACTTTGTAGCCCAGGCTGGTCTCAAACTCCCAACGATCCTCCTGCCTCGGCCTCCCGAGTGCTGGGATTACAGGCATGTGCCACCACGCCTGGCATGAACAATGAGACTGAGTGATGACCTGGATTAGGTAGTGGCAATGGAAGTGGAGTAGGAAGTGAAATTAGAGGACTGGGGGTGTAGCTCAGGGGTAGAGCGATTGTCTGGTGTGTGTGAGGCACTGGGTTGGATCAGCAGCACAGCAAAAAAAAGGTACTAGACACTCAGGGAAGAGATGCTATGGCAGGGACTAGTATAATAGTACTGCTAGTAGGAACTATTAAAATTGAGCTGCTAGTGAATTATGATCAGAGTTATGTATGCTCAATATGAGTGCGCTAACTGAATTATGGAAAAATGTCAAGCATACAACAATTGAATAGTATAGAGAGACTAGATAATGAGCCTCAACACTGGTAAATTTAGGGCAATCTTATTTCATCTGTACCCTACTTTGGATTATCTTGAAGCAAGTTTCTAGGCATATCGTATCACTTCCTCTATATTTTAGTATGTGTCTCTAAAAGGTAAAGACTGTGAAAATGGGTGAATATTTTGAAGAAGGCTACATGGCTTATTCGTGTTGGTGCCATTCCCTTAGAAGGGACAAAGCAAGGAAAAACATGGGAGTTGGATTTCATATGCCAGTACATGTCTACTAGGTTTGAGATTTGTTCTGTAAAAAGTTGTAGCACATTAAAGAAAATGATTTGACTCTTGCTTTTTTTCTTCTTAGGCAGCTCAGCTATTTATTGAATTCTATGTGAGTCTTATCTCTGTGCTTACAAAAAGGATTCTTTCGTTTTGTAAGGGTTCAGTGAGTAGTATCACACTAGTTATTTCTTTACACATGTGCATGCCAGTTTCTGAATAATCCTCTAAAGATGTTGTGCCCTTGTTTAGGATTCATTGTCAGCTGTGCTCTTGACCCCTGACATCTTACCTACCCCAATCCACCTTTTTCTGTCTGACTGCTCCCTGAATGTTCTTTTAAGGCTTTTCTAGGTCATGTTTGGGTCATGGTGATATTTCTCCTTCTCTTCTTAGGTTTTATTGTTTCTGCATGGGTTATGTTTTATATTCTGTTATAGTTGGGAGTGCTTCTGTTTTATTTCTTGTTTATTTGTTTTATTTTTTTGAGACAGAGTCTCAATGTGTAGCTCAGGCTGTCTTTGAACTTGAGATCCTCCTGCCTCAGCTTTCCCAGTGCTGGGTTTACAGGCGTGCACCACCATGCCTGGCTGTTAGTCTTTTTTCTTAATGGTAGCAAGGAGACTATTCTGTAATTATGCTTTACGCTTTTTACTTTCCACTCAGTAAATACTTGTTTTACTGACTTTGCCACCATTTTAGCTATGTTCTGTTTGAATGGAAGTCTTAACTACCTTGAAAGTTAGCTGCCAAGTTTGTCAGAAGTGTAGAGAAAATCATTAGTAGAACATAAATATGTAAAAGGTCACTGAGGATGTGATAGAAAATCTGTAATTTGACTACAAATGAAAGACAGGTTGCAAAAGTTAAAAAAAAGCAACAACACCAAAAAAACATGGTACAGGTTTTTCTCTAGGTCAAGGAAATTCAGCTATTTTTTCCGGTTTTATAAATTTTTTATGATACTGAATATGAAGGAAAAAGAGTGGTCTTCCCAACCTCAAGGACTCTTTCTTCATCCTTATTTTCTGTGAACTTGTGATATGAGAGACTGTTATGCCAACTTAAGTATTGTTTTCCATTTTCAGTAAACAGACCTAATTACCAGTCAGTGTTGGCATCCAGTTGTTAGGATCACACCTAACAGCAAAGCAGCTTAATAGCCTGTGCGGCCTTACTGAGAGCTAGTACTGTATATGGCTTTCTTTCAGTCCTTTTGAAGTAGTTCACATAACCCAAAACTTCATTTTATGGACTTCTTGGCAGTTGGGAACTCTTTATAGGGAAATGTTTTCAAGTAAATAATCTGCCTCAGGAAGTAAATTAGCTCGTAAACAAATGAAACTGAAAGATAAATGCGAATGGACAGCTCTTTGGCAATAACCTGTACTTTACAAATATGAAAGTGATACCATTTGTGGCTGAACAGCACTTTATTTTGAAAATGTTTTTATAAACAGTTTGTTGTGGGAAGTAAGGCATTGCTGTCCCCCCGCACCCCCACCCCCACCGCCTTTACACTGTTAAAAAAAATAGTCCAGCCATAGTTGTTCAGAGCAAATCATAAATAAATATGGACTAAGGAGTCTATGGACCTTTTCTTTGGTTTACCGTCCTGGGGAAGATTATCTTTACAAATTGAACTCTTAGAGAAGCATCTGGAAATAATCAGAAATGTCAGGTTAAGCTCCTGAGTGGTGTTTTCAGGCATAGAGGAACAATCATTTTCATTTATTTGACTAGTTCATAATTGTTGGGTTAAATTTGTAGTGATTATCTATCCTCCTCCATCCCCACTTTTATGTCCTTCTTTGAAAGAAATGGAGAAGAGACTTAGGTTTCTGATTTATGAATGGTTTTTCTGTTCGTAACTTGGGTTGCTTTGTTACTGTTGTTTTTGGTTAAACTAAGACCTAGTAAAGAGTAGTACAGAATGTCAGCTAGTTGAAGGGTAGGGAACTGAAATGGTCACTGCCTAGTACAAAGCATTACTGGAGAATAACAAAGTAGGGTACCCTTTTGTTCAGGCCTTTGTCACAGTGTCTGTGATACCGCAGAACCCAGGAAACCATCCAGTGGGCCTCTGCAGCTTAGGTGGCTCAAAACCTTTTTAACACCATTGTTTTCTTTGCCACCATTGACAGTTTACTTAGAGTGGTGTTCTGAGTAGCAATTTGCTGCCTGTCTTTGAATATTTAAGCATTTTTTAGATCACAAGAATATGTATGCATGCTGGGTGTGGTGCCGCAGGCCTGTAATCCCAGCACTTAGGGAGACCGAGGCAGGAAGAATGCTGTGAGTTCAAGACTAGCATGAACTTAAACCCTGTCTCAAAAAAAAAAAAAAGACTATGTATGCATTTTTTAACCATGCGTTAGTATTTTTACTGTGCTTTTTTGCACTCTGGGGTAGGTATTTAGTTGTGATAAACTATTTGAAAGTTTTCCATGTAGAATAACCTTTATAAAGACAATTACAGTTTCATTCTATGAGCCTTGATATCACTAGAAAACTAATAGAATGGAAGAGCAGCAATAAGTAGATAAATAATTAGATGAGTAATTAGATCCTTAGGTAACTTTTCTGTATTTATCTTTAAAATTTTCATAATGGGTGAAAAAGCTGTGGTAGAAGCATTTAAACATTGTCAGTAGGAAAAATTGCTTAGATTTTTTTTGGGGGGAGTCTTTTTTTGAGACAGGGTCTTGCTGTGCAGTTCAGGCTGGCTTTGAGCTCATTTTGTAGCCCAGGTTGGTCTCGAATTTGCAACAATCCTGCCTTAGCCTCCCGAGTACTGGGATGACAGGCATGTGCCACCATGCCTGGCCTCTCAGGGCCTTTATTTTGAGGCAGGTCTTACGAAGTTGCCTAGGCTGGCCTGAATTTTTCTTTTTTTTTTTGGCCTGAATTTTTCTTAAAAGAATGTTTGGCAAAATGTTTTAAAATATTCATTTTCTGTGGCTTCAGCTGTATTATAGTTGAGATTGTAGGTTTTTTTCTTTTGGTACTGGGAATTGAACTCAGGACCTTGCACTTGCCAGGAAGGCACTTGAGATTATAGTTTTTAAAGTAGTGGCTCCTCAAAACTGTGCAGGATTTTCCTTAACTTGAACCTAATATCTACTAGTATTTCCTAATGTCTAGTAGTGAATGTCTATTAGTTGAGTGAAAGCGTGTGATGCTTACTTCGCTGACTTTTTAAAAAAAATCAACACACTGGTATTTTAAAAAAATAGTAAAAGCGTTTCTTGGTAGTACTTGGTTTGTGTAATAGACCAAGCAGCCTAAGATGACAGATGTCATCAGACAGTGGGGTCAAGAGTGTGCACAGTTACCTTGTGTTCACTGGTACAGCACCACCTGGGTCAGGGAAGGTGTTGGAAGAGACTGCAATTGTCTCAGGGTGGACACACAGAGACTCTTCTCACATACTTGATGGCAGGATTCATCACCTTACTACACCGTGTAGGGTGTTGGACTAACTTGATGCCACAGTTTAGCTTGTTTCTGGTGAGAGGCCCTTTTCAGTCCTTGCCCTGGGGGCTTCTCCCTTGTGGCCGCTCGTTTCTGGCAGAGGGATTGATTAAGAAAGCAGGAGAAGTTGAACAACACAGATGTTGTCTATCGCTACCCTACTTTGAGAGGTGACCTCTCATTACTTTCGTATTCTGATTGTTAGAGGTGAGTCACTAAATCCAGGGAAGAGAATTCTACAAGGGAGTATTTAAGAGCGTCACGACATGGGTGAACAGATGGTGGCTGTACCTGGAACGGCTATCCCAAACAGTGCTCCTGGGGCAGCAAAAAACTGCAGATAGACCACGCCGGCCGTATGTTACTGTTCTGTGTTCTGCCTTCTAACACCTTCTGCACTCATTGTGTTACATTTAACCAATGCTTTTTTTAGGAATTACATTCTATGATACTGTCCAAAAAGAAATGGAAAGTTTTGGGGTAAATTTTAGATCTGGTTGATAGGTAGTAGGGGAAATCTCAGAGTAACTTCTCTATGTGCTACTCAGAAGGCAGGCATACTGTGAACAGATCTAGAAAAACCATTCTTAACATTGATAAGGATTTAGAGACATGTATTCCTTGGTTTTATTTTTAACATTTTAGAATTAGGTCTCCAGATATTAGAAATGTAACTTTATTATGTTAAAAGTCAAAAGTAGTACAGTTTGAACCTATAGACTATACTTTAAGTTGGTTTTTTTTAAAACTTGTTTTTGCTTTTGGAGAGATTATGATTCTAGATTTTAAAACTTTTGAAAAAGGTGAAAGCCGAAGACTTGAGGCCTTGACAGACCTTTCTTTGTGAAGGAAGGAAGCCTATCTTTCTTGGTATTTGAATACCATTTTTCTTTCTTTAAAAAATAAAACAAGACTTTCACAGTGTATTGTAGTTTTCAGTAATACTCTTTGCTCAATAAAGTGCTTCTGTTTGATTTTAGACTTAAATAAAGTTACATGACATGGGGCTGACAAGATTAAACTATAAAACTTAGCAACTTTATTTTTTAAATTCCATAAAATGAGATTTGGTTCTCCCCAAATGGATTTTAATGTGTTATTTTTCTTCCTCCTGATCATTGTACTTGAGTCCACGATCACCTTGCCACTCAGGGGCGTGGTTTCAGATTAGGCTGTATGTAAATGTGTTTAACATTGCTGTCTCTCTGTAACAGGAATCTTATCCATTGTCTTCACCCATATGGTTTGTAGACTCTGATGACCCAAACCTGACATCGATTCTGGAACGTCTAGAAGATACTAAGAACAATGATTCAGTAAGAAAATAAGCCAAGCTACTTTCTTTTTTCCTTTTTACATGTTAAGAGGTAGTGTGATATAAAAGCATGACTACTCTTAGGAGAGATTAAAGATCAGAGTTGGTTTTTGTTTTTGTAAGTTCTTTAAGTTCTATTTATTACCTAGTTTCTCTTTTGTTATTTCTCACAGAAGTAGCCTTGCTTTAGATTAGGAAAAGTAGGAGCCTGTCTTCCCTACATTGTAACCATTAAGCCAAGCAAGCATTTTTGGTAGTGACCGCTAGCCAAGATGGGAAGTAGAAAAAAGGAAAAATAGATATGAAGGAGAATAATGATAGAATGACACCAGTACAAGTTAGGAAGTTGCTTTTTCTAACAAGGGGCTGTGTATCTATTTGTGAAAGCCAAAGGTATTCAAATGGAAAGTTTGTTTTGCTTTTTTATATATGGTAGTTTCTCCTTACCTATGGATGATACATCCAGAACTGTCAGTGGTACCTGAATCGATGGATAGTACTGAACCCTCTGTGGGCTGTTTTTCCTTAACTTAACATATGTATGTTAGTTTAATTTACACATTAGTACAGTAAAATATTGATAACAATAATAAAGTAAAACAAGGATTACAATATACTAAAAGTTATTTAAAACTTACGTATTTTTCCTTCTGAAATTTTCCCTTTAACATTTTTTGAACTGGAGAGAAGTGGGGATTACTGTGTAAAGAAGCATAATCTTTCCATTTTATAAAAGTGCAAAAACCTTTATTTTGAATATGAACTCCTGAGTGTACATTGTGAGGAATATAGGCAAGCCAGAAAAAAAAAGGCAATTAAAATCTCAGTTTTCTTTACCTAGTATGACTACTTTTGACATGGTTCTTTTTTTGTCTTTTTGAGACAAGTTCTCGCCATTCAGTTCACACTGGCCTTGCGCTCACTTTGTAGCCCAGGATGAGAATTAAAAATAAGCAAAAGGCTGCGCGTGGTGGTGCATATCTGTAATCCCAGCACTTGGGAGGCCGAGGCAGGAGGATCGTCACTAGTTCAAGGCCAGCCTGGGTTACAAAGTGAGCTCAAGGCCAGCCTGAACTGTGCGGCAAGACCCTGTCTCAAAACTACAAAAAAAAGAAAAGCAAAAATTGGTATTTTAACTCAAAAAGGATAGGATAGATTATAGTGTGGGGAGAATTGACCACCTGGGGGAAGAGTGTTTAACTTAAGATTTTTATCAAAATGAATTGTAGATGGTTTAAACACATTTGTTCTTAAAATTAAGAACAGAAGAACAGAACATCAGTTTGAAAACATTTTAGGAGTTAAGGCTAGTACGGAGAGTCATAAAGGTAAGAGGTAAAAATTAAAAGCTAGACAGAGACACGTTCACATGTCCAGCAGAGAATGGTAGGAGAGAATGACAGGCATAGCCTGTTACTGCTGCCTGTTTTAAAAGCTTTTGAAGACCCAATGATTCCACTTTATAATAGCAGAAATAAGTGGAGTTATTTTTCAGTGTCTAGAATGTTACATCAAAAAAATACTCAGTTAAATAGGTTATAAAAATTTTATGGAAATAGTAAATATTTTTGCATGGTGAAAAAACAGCTCACTTTCCATTCTTTTTTATACCTTCTGCCAGTTTTTCATAGCCTACTTTCTAGAGGCACTAAGCTGTATGTTTTTTGAGTTCTTTTTTTTACTTTTAATTCCTTAACTGATTATCTAGATTCTGTCTTTATTGTTGCACAAAAATTTATCTCGTGGTTTTCCAACCAAATGATTCCTTTTTTAGTCCCAAAATTGACCTCTCTGCAGTATTTTGAACTGGTGGTTTTTTCCTTGGTGAAATATTCCTCCATTCAATATTTATGGTTTAGTATTCACCAATAAAGAGCTGGTTAAATATAAATTAGGACGTATAGTTGTATGATAGAATAGTCTGTTGTAGTTAAGAAGAATGCAGCCAGTCTGTAAGAGCAACGTAGGAAGTTCCAAGATACATGAGAAAGAAAGGCACAGAACATCATGAGCAATCAGCCCTTTTTATATACAGTGTTGTGAAAAATCTGTTCTCCTATGTTAATACAGGAAGCTGTTAATAGAACATAGAAAATTATTTCTTAAAAAGCTTAGTTGGTTTCTTTGGGAGGTTGTCTGATGGGTACAAAAAACAAGGCATGTCTGTGTCCTCTGGGAACTGGTACTTTGCGGAGGACTTCTGTGAGACAATTGTCTCTTGCTTTTATCTCCTATTACCTTGCCTTGGCCTCCTGAGTTCTTTCCTGGTGCACCTCTTCTTTTTCCATTCTCTCCTACTCTCATTACTTAGTTCATGACCTATAGTCCAGGAATTCCTAAATCTGCATCTCTAGCTGGAATGAAGCTCTGTTTTCCTACATGTATCTGTGTATCATATATGTCCAGAGAATCTCACTCAGATGTGCCATGGTGTTTAAAATGATCACGTGTCAGGTTACACTGCTATCTCTGAGCACTCCACTGCCCCATCATTTGCTTCATGATTGTTGGTGGACAAAGTGAAATAATGAAACTGGTTACTCATGCCTGAACCTAGGAACTATCTTAGAGTTCTTTATACTTCTGTTACCCAGCCCCCCAGAATAGTCTAGTAAGTTTTGAAAACCTGTCCATCCATCTTCTGAATATTTATTAAATCTTCACTAGGATATTAGTTTCTTTTTCTATCCTTCAAACACTTTTTGTGGGGGAGAAGTGCATAAAATGAAATTCTTGGCAGATGTATTGCCCTGTTTCCTTGTTGCATGGTCTGACACCTATACATGTTGCCTCTTCCTCAGTGCTCCTGCAGCTCCTCCTGTGCCAGGTTCTGAGTGTCCAGGGCCACGTCCTGATCCCTCACCTCACCTTCCTTTTGTATTTACCATGAAACAGCTTATGAGAGAGATAACCCGCACAGTGTGGGTTCCCTTTTAAGTGGGAGGATTTTGTTTGATTCTAATTTACTATTCACTTTGGAAAGCTTGTTCTTTGCTTGGTTTAACACATTCTAATATTGGATTTGCTTTTTTAGTCCCTCATAAACCTGCTTCCTCCTCTTCTACCCTTTTTCTGGTCAGACACACTGAGAAAACTATTTCTAAACAAGTGAAATTGCATTGTTAGCTCCCAGTTGAGTGTTAAGTGTTGCCCATTCTTAACTGTAATTGCTAAATTTATGTATTAAAAACATTTTAAACAACAAAAAACATGCTTATATCTGTGATTTACTTTGCTTACAACAGAGGTACTTACAAAATAATCTGGCTTTAAAAATGGAAATTTAAGGAGCTAGTCTTAGCAGTTTTCCTAGTGAAATCCCCCATTCCTGCCTTTGCATTAAATTAAGTGCCAAGTGTTTTCACAGAAAGCTTCATTTAGTCTTTACCATTCTGAGAAGGTTTTAATTTGTTTTACAGATGGGGAGGACTCAAGCTCAGGAAGTTAGGTACCATAGCCAAGGTCATGTGTTTTCCAAGACTCTATCTACTAGATCACATTTCCCTCTACACTTTTAAATGAATCTGACAGTGACATGTAATTTTATAATCTATATACAATAGCACTTCTTATTTTTTATAGCTTATTAAATGCATGAGTGTTCTCTTATCTGAAGTTGCAAGGTTCTAGAAAAAGAAATTAACTAGAAATTGGACAGTGTCCGGAATTCTTTCCTGTGCCTTTTTGTTGATATCATTCTGCTGCATAAGGGATTATACTTAAGACATAGCTACTTTCTCCCCCATAATAACTTTCTTATACTAGCAGCCCTTAAAAATATTTGAGTGTGATACTATTCCTAGGCTGAAGTTGAGCAGTAACAAACTTTTTCATTTCTGTCTGGATTGATTGCAGTAATTGTAGTAGCATTATTCATGTTTTCTAAGGGCTCTTTAAGTAATGTTTATTTACTGAAATGTGTTTTGTAGCTTCGTCAGCAATTGAAGTGGTTGATATGTGAACTCTGCAGATTATATAACCTTCCTAAGCACCTGGATGTTGAGATGCTAGATCAGCCACTACCCACGGGTCAGGTAAAGTAACAATTCTCAGTGTTCAAGAGTTGAAATAAATTGTCTCAGTCAAAAGTAAAACTAGGATGCTTGTTCTTTTTATTATTATGCAACTTATTTAGAAGTTTATTTTTTTTGTTTTTATTGAATTTCTTTGTATTTTAGATACTAAAAGTAACCTTTCATTCTTGGGAGCTGCTGATATTTACTATAATAGGCAAACAGCTGCTCTTCCGCCCCACTGTTTTGTTTTTGTTAATATTTCTGGTTTCTGTAAATAGTCACTGCTTCTTGGATTGCTTGACTTTGGTTATTCAGTTACCGTTGCCTGATTGCTAAATCCTTAAGGCCTGACCTAAATGCTATCAATTCCAGCAGGCAATGTGAATTTCTAGGTTTATCTACTTAGCTTTTACTCTTGTGAGGATTTAGCTCTTTTTTTTTATATTTTTATTTTTTTTAAATTTTTTTTTTGACAGACAACCTTTTACAAAATAGCAGAAGAACAGTACAGACAATACAGAGTTACAAACAAAGTGGTAGGAAATTAACAGTGCTTGTTATATTACATATTGTTATCTTCAAAGTGGTTTCTCATGAAAACAGATAGAGACGTGCAATATTGATCAATCAAGGACTCATTGACAGTTTCTTTCAGCAAAGAAATAGAAGACAGTAGAACAACTATGTTAACTATCCTGTATATACATACATACAAAATTTCTCCTTCTTTCCCTTCTCTTTTCCCACATCCCAGTTGCCCTTTACCCTTGAGTGTTTTCCTATCATTTCACAATGTCTATCATACCTCCTCCTAGTTTAAATTAACTCTTTCAGGTTTTACACTAGTGAAACAATGCAGTGCTTGCACATGTATGTATGATTAGATTTAGCTCTTATAACTTACTGCTTACCTTTCCTAAAACCTTATCTTTAGTTATATGAATAATCATTGGTTTATCACTTGCAGGGTAGAGCCAGGTTTTCTGTTATGATATTTCCTTTCTTATATAGCCTTTTGTTTTCCAGAGTCATCTTTATACTAATAATTCTTAGTGTAAAAAAGTTATCTTTAGTCCCTTTCTGTGATCCTTGTCTCTGGAGCCTTCTGGTGCAGCTGTCACCTTGGGGTTTTTCTCATCTGGTCTGCTTGAGCAGACCCCCTCTGTTCTGGCTTTCTTGTTGTCTCTCTTGGCTTAGCCTTCTTTTGCTTGAGTATATCCTCAAGTGAAAGCCTGCGGGAGCATGAAGGGATGGTACATTTCCTTAGTTCTGGCTTCTGAGATACTGTAATGCAGACCAGACTTTAGGTTTTGGAGCCACTGCAGTGGGTTTGAATCTCAATTCTGCTATGTATTACCTTTTACCCTTGGGCTGATCATGTCATCATTCTGTGCATCATCTCCCATTGAAAAAGAGGGGAGATAATGGTAGTAGTACTTCAGTTTTAGGGGAGCCATGAGGACTGAATTAATTAAGTAGCTATCCAAAGCTACCCGAGCCTGAACCAAATCTACAGTTGTTTCTTTATCTTGATTATTTGTTAGAGGCTTATTTGTTTTAATGTAGTGGTCTGTTGAAAGAATCAATTCTGTTGAAAGTCTGTTGAAAGAATCTTAGTTTTATTTTTTAAATGTAGCATGTTTTCTTTTCTCATTTTTTGCTTTTATCTTCGTTATTTCTCCCCTTTTGCTTTTTCTGCTTTAGTAGATCAATATGACATCAATTGGTTTTTAAATAAACATATGTAAAGGTCTGTATTTCTTTTGAGTACTGTTTGACTTCATTGCAAGTTGAAAATTTTATATTTTCTGAACAGTTTGTATTTCCTAAGTGGTTTTTTCCATCTTTGCCTTACTCTCTCTCTTTTTTTTTTTCCCCTGGTATCAGGAATCGAACTCATGACCTCGTGCTTGCCAGGCAGGTGCTGTGCCGCTGAGCTAAATCCCCACTCTTGTTAGAACTTTATTGTGAAATGTAACATGTGGAAAGTATATCTGTGAGCTTAGCATAACACATGGTTACAGTGACTTCCTGGGAACCACTACCTCCCACCACCCAAGAGAAGAAACAGGATGTTGCTAACACAGCAGAAACCTCCGCACGTTCCCCCAAGATCATTAGGTGACCTTTTCCCACATAGCAGTCGTTTCCTTAATTTTTTCTAGTTTTAGCAGTCTTGTATGCGTTTTGCATTTTCATCCAATTAGAGTTTAATGTTCCCTGTTTTGAGCTTCATTTGTCATGTTATAGGTTTGTGGCTTTATTTTGCTCAACAGTGTATCTGAAATTCATTCATACCTTTTTTCTTTTTTCATTGCTCTCTGTTTATTCTATCCATGGGATATACCATAATTTTTTCCTTCATTGGTGCTGGGATCAAACCCAGGGCCTGACAACACTCTAGGCAAGTACCCTGCCACACCCAATCTGTGAATATATAAGGTAACATTTATCCATTCAACTATTTGTAAGATGTTTGGGTTGTTTCCAGTGTTTATAAGTGTGGAGGACCACCTAGGCAGCTCTCCTTTTTTTTTTTTTTTTTTCCCCCAGTACCGGGAATTAAACTCACAACCTTGCACTTGCCAGGCAAGCACTGTGCCGCTGAGCTAAATCCCAAGCGCCCCCAGTGTTTATGTATTAAGAAGAATGCTATTATGATTCTTCTTGCTGTATCTCTTGATACCTCTTTTACAGGCTTGTCTCTGGGGCACATCCTTTGGAGGTGATTTGCTAAGACATAGAGGTCCATTTTTTTAACCCAAAAAAGTTGTCTAGAGAAAAGATTTTTTGTTGTGCTTTTTGAGACAGGGTCTCACTTCGTAGTTCAGGCTGGCCTTGAACTCACTATGTAGCCCCAGCTGGCCTGGAGCTTGCTGTATCCTTCTGCTTCAGCCCTAGAGTGTTGGGATTACAGGTATATACCACTTTGCCCAGCTATGAGAACCTGTACAAAAACATTCTTCAGTGACTTTTGGGCTATTTGTCAGTATGGTCAGAGAATATAGGTTTTTTTTTTTTGGCCTTTTTTTTTTTTTTGGTTTTTCTCCGGTACCAGGAACCGAACTCACGACCTTGCGCTTGCCAGGCAGGC